AATTCGTTGATGATATTATAGATACTTTTGGCGTACCTCGACGAATTATTTGCGACAGGGGTACTTGTTATACAAGTAATTTATTCATCAAACGTTGTATAGAGCTAGGCATAAAAATTGTCCATGTAGCCGCAGCAACACCGCGTGCAAACGGACAAGTCGAAAGATACAACAGAATTGTTCTATCTAGTCTTAGAACAATGGTAAGTGACGAAACTAAATGGGATGAGGTAGTACATAAAATCCGATGGGGATTAAATTGTACCATAAATAAAAGTACAGGGAAAAGTCCATTCGAAATATTTTTTGGTTTTAAACCTCGAGGCATAGTGATTCTTATTTGCGAGCGAACACCGAATTTGGGAATGATGCAGACGAAACTCAGACAAATATAAATAATCAACAGAATCTTACAGAAATAGGCAAATTAAGTGAGAAACAGCAGGCAGAACAAAAGCAGCGTTATGACAAAAAAAGAGTAACGCCATACCAATATAAAGTAGGTGACAAAGTGTTAATAAAAAACAAATAGGTAGTAATGAAAGCAAAAGCAGAAAGTTATTACCTAAATACAGGGTGTCTCATAATTAGCTGCCAACCGCGAACAGGCCGATTCTATGATCAAAACTAAGTAAAAAAGTTCATATGAACATGGGTCCGGAAATACTTCCTAAGGGTACAGGGACCCATTGAAGAGGGAGGAATGGAAATCATTTTTTTGCAATATCTCTCAATCGCGTTGTGATAAATGAATGAAANATCAGGTTCTGCGACGCTGATGTGTTTCAATGGTTACAATCGATGTTCCATCAGGTTCTGCGACGCTGATGTGCTTTAAAATCGTACCAGATGTTCCGCCAGGTTCTGCGACACTAACGTGATTACCCAATAACTATTATTCCGTCAAGTTCTGCGACGCTGACGTGAAATTACTGAACAATCGTAATTAAATCGTAATTAATCATAGATGAATGTGAATACTTACAATTACTATGCCATGGTTTCGCCAGCTTCTAATAAAGAAAGCAAGTAATTCATGTCAGTCTCTGTCGACCATTCCGAGGGCCAACTACGTAATTGCTCTTTGGCGGCCTTCGTGATTAAGTTTTTCCCCAATCGTCGAATTTCATATCGCCCTTCTTGCGTAATTCCAACGATTTCATACGGCCCCAAATGTTCATAATTTAGTTTGCTTTTATGAATGGTGGAATCTCTATGCACTAATACAATATCGCCCACTTCAAATTGGCGATCGTCTCGTCGTTTAGCATTGAGTTTCTCGAGATTTGGAATATTACTTTCCAACGCTTTTCTTACCTTTTCTCTATCCGCATTAATATTTCGCACGGGTCTAATATCGTCTGGCAAATTTTGAACCACAGATTGAATCAAAGGAGTTGCAGCTTTTATGCCTAATAAAGCCTGTATAGGAGTCATCCTTATTGATTTTTGAAAAGTGGTATTTAACACAAGTTGAATTTTCCAAAGATTGTTCGACCATTCTGACTTAATATCTGTCTCAATACGCAATAAATTCATAATTGTTCGCATATATCTTTCAACTTGCCCGTTACCGCGGTGTACGTCAGGAGTTACATAGTGATAACTAACTCCCCACGAATCAAGATATTGTGCGATCTCTAAATTTTGAAAATTGTGTCAGCAACTATCAACTTAGGTGCTCCAAATAACGAAAAGAAATTTTGTAATTGACTTTTGGTTTCTATAGATGTCACAGTCTTCAGTGGCAACAATAAACAGTATTTTGTAAATGCATCGATTAACACAAGAACATGTTTATAACCGTCCGTAGAAACGCTTAGTGGGCCTAAACAATCTACATGTACGGTATGAAAAGGCTCATCGTGTTTAGATATGGGCTCAACATAGCCTTGCAAAGGACCTGTACGTGTTTTCTTCACTGCGCACACCAAACAATGTTTAACGTAATTATTAACAAAATTTCGAATTCTGGGAAACCAAAAATGCTGTTTTATGCTTTCCAAAGTTTTCTCGGGGCCAATATGACACTGTTCGTCATGGAAAATTCGTAATAACCCTAAACGATTTTGCCTTGGCACAACCCATCTCAATATTTTAGTTCCATCTGATAGAATTTCTTGATGCAAGAGCATCCCGTTCTTTTCTACGTATTACTTGCAATCTAATTTTCCTTCGCGTAATAAATACATGTTTTTAGTTTCAGCGTTACCTCTTTGTGCAATGCGCAACCAATCATCATGAGCGACTCGACGTACATTTACTGGAGGATTTCTACTTAGAAAATCTACATGTGGTAGTGAACTTCCTTTACGGTACACTAGAGTAAAGTTAAAATCTTGCATATAAGACCACCATCGAGCTACGCGTGGTTTCAACGACTTTTTATTTGCGGTTGATTTGACAGCATTACAATCCGTGACGATTGTGAAGTGAATGCCTAAAAGATAAATGCGAAAATGCTTTAGGGAATTAACTATGGCCAACGTCTCCAGCTCATATGAATGGTACTTTTCCTCTGTCGAGGTTGTTCGTTTACTAAAATAACCTACTACACCAGTTTGACCGTCTTTTTTTTGCAACAAAATTCCTCCGTAACCAAGCGAACTCGCGTCGGTGTGTAATTCAGTGGGTAAGTCAGGGTCAAAAACGGTTAATAAAGGTTCTAATATTAATTATTTGATTACGTAATCGCGAGCTTCTTGCTGCTCCTTAACCCATAAAATGGTTCGTTTTGTTTTATTAATTTTGAAATACAAGATGTAACCCAAGCAAAATTTAGAATGTACTTTCGAAAATGGCCTGCAAGTCCCATAAACTGTCGGACTTGTTTAACGGTTTTAGGTATTGGTGAATGCAGTAAAGCCTGAACTAACTTTGGATCTGGACGTATACCCTCGGCAGAAATTTGACGTCCTAAATATCACACTACTTTGTAAATATGTATTTACACTTGGAAGCATTTAATGAAAATCCTGCATTTTGCAAAGATGTAAGAACTAGTTTTAGAGACTTCATTCCCTCTTCAGGTGTTTCTGAAGGTATTGAAATATCGTCTAAGTACACTAGGGCTATAATATCTTTAAGGTCACCTAACACTTTCATTAATGTAGGCTAAAATACCGCATTGGCCAACCCAAACGGCATAGGTAAACAATCGTAATGACCCACCTTAGTACAAAATGAACACGTGATTTGATTACTAGTACTTGGTCCAGTAACAGTTTCATCCCTAACTGAATTTCTAATCTGATTCTGACTTCTCTTGTGACATTGACGTCTAACATGCCCTAATTTACCGCATGTATGACATTTAATATTTTTACGGTTTTTACCTAGTGACTCAGAAAACTTTCGTTTCTTAAACGAACTCCTTGACGAACTCATTTCAAAACTAGTGTTAATATCGTCCCTCGCCCTTTTTGTATAAACAGATAAATATGTGAGCAGTTCTGAAATCGTTTTACAGTCCCTTGACATCGTGGCATCGCGAACATGTGATTCTTTAATGCCATGAACAATTATTTCTACAAGATCTTGTTCTTGCCAAGACACTCGCAAATTTCTCAATAAGGATGAATTTTTATGAACGTAAACGTCACACGTATTACATTACATTACAAACGTCAGTAAATTCTCTTTTGAAAGTATTTTAATCTCTTACCTAGGGTTTCCATTCGTCAAACCACTTACGTGCATTTTGAATCATAAACCGGCCCAGCCGTATTAAGATTTCCACAACAGACCAAGACAATTCAATTTTTATCTTTTCCACTTGCTCTAGCCATTTTGCTGCGTCATCCGTTTCCGGGTGAAATATTGGGAGATCCACTTGAACAGGGGCTGGTTTGTTGGCCTTTAAAGCCTTCACAAGCTCGGACACCAACTCCTCCACTTTCTTCATTCCCAGTCTACTCAGGATACACACTACTGCGAAAGGAACTGAGTCACGATCCCACTTCTGAAGTTAGATATAGTTAGATAACAGATTAATTATTCAATTCACGTGTCAAGCAATGACACTAATCACTTCAATTTAGATTTTTCGTAACATAACATCCAATACAGAACATATATTTGAATACAAATGTATCTTTAACAAGCTATCACAAAACAACTTGGAAGACTTCCACTGGCAATCACAAACAAAACAACCATTAGTTAGCGGCCAAGTAATCCAGGCAGACCTCGCTCTCTCAAAAATTGTCTCGAACTGACTGGCGGCGGCTTTTCGACGTCGACCTACTATGTTTTCGAACATCATATTTCTAACACTAGAAATATAGGTGTGTCCAATATTATTTGAGTGCTACGAAGTCCATCGATAACAACAGGGGCACAATTCTTGAATCTTTTCCCATGAGAAACATGGCGCCTTTCCCATAGGAAAGCGTAAAATGTATTCTTGAATCAACTCGTTGGAAAATTTTCCACTGCAAGTCAGTGGAATTAAAACACTTGGCTATTTCCAAGGGAATTACAATTTCCCATAGGAATAAGCTGAATAAGTTAACCTTAAAAGTAGGTATAGTGATTTATTGTGGATATATATTTTCTATAACAGATCTAGATAATATTTATTGTGTACCTAGTGATTGCTTATGTTTGTAATGGATGAATTAAATTACATTTAATTGCTATTGAAAATTTAGAACAAGCTGAAATTTTAGCTGGCCAAGTACCTAGAATTCGTATAAATCTAAATGACTATATTCAACCCCCAAGCAGAAGCTCTGCACTAAATGCAAAGTTAGACAGTTTTTTAATCCCTTTTTTGTGTTAATTGTGTATAAAATGTAAAAACAGACTTGCAAAATCATTACATATTTATTACTATAACATATTTTGGACATAAATTAAAGGTATCTAACTTACAGATTTTAGCGGCACTACAATTTTTTGCCACTTTAAATTGGATAACATACGTCAAGGGTATGTAGTCACTGATGGATATGCAATTATATATAGGTAACCAACAAGGCATTAATATGATTTTCCCAGGTTTTATGATAAATATGGATTACTTGGGGTCATTGGAAGCATAGATTGCACTCATGTTGCTATTTTTCCTCCTCGAGAAAATGATATTTATGTTAATAGAAAAAATTATCATTCTATTAATGTTCAACTAGTACGTTAAATGAACAAACTTTTTAGGAATATATTATATATACCTACGATTTTACAGATTTGTGACAGTGAGATGAGAATTACCAATATCAATGCACGTTTTCCTGGCAGTACACATGATGAACATATATGGAGTCAGTCTATTGTCCAAGAAGCGGTGTCCAATTTGAGCCGAAGAAATCCTGGCTATTATTTAATTGGTAAATATGAATCTGTTGACTCTTTGTGAAATATTTATCACTAATGGTAAAATGGAAGAAAAAGTTACTTATATTATATATATTATATTTATGTATATTTTTCAAGACCTTAAAAAATTATTTAAATTAAAGGAGAATAAATTACAATATACTAATTAGAATTACGCTTTTTTTTTAGGTGACTCTGGTTATCCACTACGTTTACGGTTGCAGACACCAATACGGGATCCTCAGCCAGGAACACCAGAATTTGCATATAATACTGTTTTTAAAAGAGCACGTAGTACCGTAAGAAAGATGCAGTGGTCTACTGAAAATGCGGTTTAGGATTAAAACACAGGGCTTTACATTATACACCAACAGTCTGCTCAAAAATTATATATTCATGTGCTGCTCTGCACAATATGTCTTTAACCGCACATATTCCTGAACCAGAAGAGGAACTTGAAAATGAAAATTTAGATTTTGGACTTATGGCAGAAAATTTTGTAGAACCTGCAGATGGACCTAGACAAAACCCTAACTTAGTAGCTGGAAGAAATATGCAGCAACAAGTTATTCATAATTATTTTATGTAAATTACTTTTTAATAAAATATCTAACAGTTTTTTTAATAGAACAAATCTATGCAAAGGAATCTAAATTAGAATTGATCAAACCATAATTTAGAATAAACAGCTGGTTAATTAATAGACTTAATAATAATTAAACTTAATAGTAAAAATAAAACTTTTATTCTATAACTATGTTTACAAAATAATAAAAATAAGGTTGTGGCAAAAAATATTTTATACAGTTATCTTCTATTTATATTTTGCACCCAAAAGCGTTCCTATCGACTCTAAAGCTGATGCAATTCTTTTTTTTTATGTGTATATCATCTTTCATTAAAATAATTTTATTTTGATAATATTCCTCCTTTACTTTCAATTTTTTCTCTAAATATTTTGTATAATTCTCTTGCGCTTTTATCGATTCGTCTAACCTGCGCACTGCCACAGGACGTTTTCTTTTTAATGTATTTATTTGTTTAACAGTTGGTTTTTCCTGTTGGGTTTCTTTATGTTCAGAAACTATATCTTCATTATCTTTATCACCTTTGTACTCGAGCAAGCTGTAGTTGTGATCGAAATCATGCTAACAAACACAATACTTATTTAGAAGTGGTTGAGTAAAATTTCAACTTACGTACAATAATAACATTTGATTCTGCTACTGCATCATCCCCTGATATTGATGTCGTGTCAAGAAGTTTTAAAACTACTTCATCGTTATTTGTAAAAGTAATATTTATTGGTGGTCCACCACCTGTCTGCTGACTACATTTTTTTAATATATCCACTCTTCTTCTTTACATTTTTCTTTAAATCCTGCCATGTCTAAAAGTAAGACAAAATATGGAACTGTGCGAAATAAAATATGCTAGTTATACTTACTCTTCTCCAATCTTTCCAATTTTTTTTTGGCGCCTGGTACACTGTTGAGTTAAGAAGCTATTTCTCCCCATTTATTTTGTGCATCTTTAAATGAAAAATATGGAGTAAATTTCCCCTTTCGAAGAGTTTCCTCTTCTTCCATAATTGAAATCAATAGTTTTTTTTGAGGATCTGACAAATGCCCTCTTTTTTCAGTCATTATTAATCTTATTAAAATAATATTAGTAAAGTAAAGTAAAATCTCACACAGCAAAAAGCTAACTAGAACGTCTCGTGTTCGTAGCTGCTGTGGGATGAACATTGTTTTTTTTTCAGGGCGTTTTTATATGCTTTGTGACGTAGTTTAACCCTTATTTCTGCGCGGGAGCCAATCACGTTGCGCAGAAATGTAACGGTTTTTCTCAATTTGGCGGGAAGCGCCCGTCGTCCACGCTTCGATCGTGAAAGTGCCGTAGCCGAACCCAAAACAGGCGGACGTGCACTGAACGGTGTCGTCACGAGGCTCCACGACCCAACGTAAAACAGGCAGAAGGGCGAAAACGGTGTGACGTCACAGCCTCCGAAAATTCGGGTTCGCGACAATACACACACACACACACACACACACACACACANTATACCCATTGTAGAGGGCGCTGCAAATTATATTTGCAAATTGCCACAAGTTGGTTGCATACATGTATGTTCCACAATATGCATATTGTGGCATAAAATGTGTGATTTTTTGAAGTTAAGTTTTTTATAGTAATTTAGGGTTGTAGATGACGAAAACGCAATTAAAAAATTGTGACCTACCAAAAAATTGGCCACAGCCACACACACGCACGCACACACTCACGCACACACACACACGCACACACGCACGCACGCACCCACGCACCCGCGATAATACATACACAAATGTACACACATGCACACGCACGCACGCGCGCGCACACACACAGACGCACAAAATGTCGGACTACGAACAGGAGGAGAACATATACATATACATGGATGATACAGACAGCGAAAGACCTTCAAGGGTCTCCGCTTCACTAAAAAACATGACCACTAAAACAGATTTATACGAACAGCTATTATCACAAAAACAAGAAAATGAGACGCTAAAACAACAAATACACGAACTCACAGAACAAACCACCCGACAATACCAACAAATACTAACCATGACACATCAAACAATTAAACTTTCGGACGAAAACCACTAAATTACACCAAAAACTCGACAAACTCATCAACAAACAAATGACATACAATACACTCCAGAGAGGCACACACACACACACACATCCCACACACGCACACCCCACACACACACACACACACACACACACACACACACACACACACACACACACACACACACATGCACACGCACACGCCCACGCGCACGCGCACGCACAGAGAAACGCAAAAAACACACAGCGGAATCCTCTAGCGAGGACGAAGCCCCCAGACAAAAAATCAGACCAAACAAACAAAACACGACCACAAACACCAAACACGCGCCCCCCGACACCCAAACCCTCCACAAGCGCCCTACAAAACACCCCACAAAACACAAAAACAGACAGACAAAACCAAACAAGTCCCCCCCATGCGAAAGCATGAACGGTGGACGCAATTACAACCGACACTTAACATTAACTACACAAAAGCCAAACTGACTGAAGACGGTATTCGCGAATGCAGCTAAGAGCTCGCCCTCTGGCGGTGACAAGTGATACTAGCGAAACAAGGTAAACATTTCTTCTGTGTGTGACATTTCGTTTTGTATTTTATTTAAAACTGTGTTTAGTGTTCGTTTTTTGAACACTGTTATTTTAAGAAAATAGTGTGATGAAAACTTCAGCAATTATGGATAGAAAGAAGAAACTGTCAAACTATTATTGTTCAGTTCAAGGTTGCTCTTCATGGTCCAAGAAAAATCCAGAATTAAGTTTTCATCAAACCATTGAAGAAATTTTCAAAATATTATTGCCGATAGATAATACTCCCTGAATTTCATGTGGGTTGTTAGTAAGTAAGGGCACTAATTTGCAGACATAATATAAATTTCTAAATTTAAATTAATTTTGCCCAATTTTCCAATATAGTACCACATGATCAGCCTTAAAAACTGCCTCTCCTTCTGATATACAACGAGAATTTTCGTTGGCATATATGTAAATAGGAAATGTATTCCACAACGGATAAGTTCATAGTTCATAACTTAATAAAATGTACATTAAATTGTATTGCTAGAGACAAATAAAGTAGACATAAATACTTGCCTTAAAATTTATTTATTAAATATTTGAAACCTATAAAATAACACAAAAGTCAAATAACCGCAGTTTGATAACAAAATTACTAATAATAATGGCAAATAAGACAAATGTTGTTCAAATGAATGTGTAAACGCGAACGGCAATGTCAAAATTACCTTGTCTCGGAGCTTACTGCTTTCGCCGCTTGGTGCGCTTGCATCTTAAAAATTATCGCGGATAGCCATATACCCAAACACACCTAAAGACCACAGACTGTTGACAAAGACACTGACAGACACTGACAAACAAAGACGAGGAATACCACACCTTCAGCCTCGGCGAAGAAAAAACGTTGAGGGTGGTGATACGCGGAATACCTGCGGGTGTTTCTCCAAGTGAGGTCCAACTCAACCTCGCACAACAAGGGTCCCCCGGCGCAATAGTGCACCGCATGACGAGCCGACAAAATAAACAGGAAATGCCCCTGGTCCTAGTTCAGGCCCCACAGGACCAGGAGGACATCCTGAAGGTAACTCGCTGCTGCTCGCTCGTGGTTCGAGTAGAGCTGCAGCGAAAGTAGCGGGTTGCCACACAGTGCCACCGGTGCCAGCGGTTCGGCCACGGCCAGTCCCGGTGCACAGCAGTGCCAAAGTGTGTAAAATGTGGCGAAATCCACAGCATTCACGTCTGCAGAAAGGCCAACCTAACAGAAAGATTAAACAAAATTTTGAGCCAGACTAATCTCCCTAACCTACTTACATGATTTTTAGTCTTAACTTGATCAAACTAAGCTATTTTACTTAATACTGAACGGTTACGCGACAACATCAAATGGGATCAGTACTTGGAATTTGCAATATTCTAATCATCTGGTGGGTGGGCTTTAAGGTCCTTGGTATGCCAGACTCCTCGATTCCGCCCTGTGTCATCAGCCAGTTCGTACGACCAAGGAGATAATACTTTAATAATGGTACGGATCATCAAACTTATGCGCTAATTTCGCGGTAATTCCTTTACTGGCATCCGATAGAGTATAGTTACATTTCCAGACGCGTTGGTGAAGTTGAAATTTTTCATCCCGCCGCCGCAAATTATAATGTTTCCGACTACGCTCACAAGCTTCTTTGAGCCTTTTGGAAACATCTTTGAAAACGTCCTTAAGGGCTTCCGAACGGAGTTGTACGTCATACTCTGAAGTGTCTAGTTCTTCAGTTAGAGGATGGTCGTCAGCACCGGATAACTGAATTTCTCTACCAAACATTACGAAATTAGGGGTCAATTTGGTAGTTTCATGACGTTAAGATCTTATCGCACAGCCTACGTGACCGACGTATTTATCCCATGGCCGATGATTGCGGGAACGTAAGAAGTTAAAATAGTTTTTATGACACGATGTACGCGTTCGACGGGATTGGCTTGAGCGTGGTAATTGGCAATATGCCCAGGCAGAATGCCGTACTTTTGCAGCAAGGCCATGATCTGATTACTCCGGAACTGGACTCCATTGTCCGTTATAACTTACTTGGGAGCTCCAAACATCAGAGTTACATTTTCCTCAAACATTTTTACAACGGCAGTTGCTGTAACTGAGCGTAAAGGAAATACTAATAAAAATTTGCTAAAAACATTCACAACCGATAAAATATAGGATATCCGGCCGCGTAACGGGGAAATGGCCCAACAATGTCCATACTATAAATTTTCCACGGACGAGAAATGGTCGGTACTGGACTTTTTGCACAGGTTTTGTGCTAAGGTAAATATTACATCGGTTAATATACCGAGAACAGTCATGTTTAAGTTTCGGCCAGTAATATTTTGAAGGGATACGAGAAGTCTTAAACAATCCGAGATGACCGCAAGCAGGAGGGTCATGATTCTCCTTTATAATTTCAGTCCGCTTGTTCTTTGGTACCACTAGCAACCGTGCCTCTGATTCTTCTGTCAGGTCAGGATAAGCGAGTT